TGTAAGCCAAGGCTCCCGGGGAGCAGCTGGGGAGTTAAGGGCCTTGCTCATGGACCCAGAGTGGGGAAAATGAGGGTGGAGGCAGGTGTGGGTTACCACTCGCATTTTGATGTTGTTGGTCCAGGGAGTTGAACCGGCAACTCTGCGATCACAGACCCACCCTCTCCAACCGCTCTTTAATGTTATTATTTGAAATATTAAAATATGAAACTTGAAAAACTACTTTGTTTTCTTTATCCCTTCAGTATCTTGCCTCAAATGTGTGCATGTTTAGAGTTCTGGTGAATTTCGTAGAAAGACTGCATTGCGTGGCTGAAAGTTGGCTGAATGCCAGAGCTAACAGACTAACAAATTACTTTTGCTAACGGATCAATCTGTTTGGCTCCTTGTGTTATTAGTATCTTTCTGTCGTGGAGATTTGATTCACATAAAACATAAAGCTGGACAGAAAAACTGCTAACCTAAAGTCAGATATTGTGTTTGTATCTAAACAATTTCAGGAATATGAAATCATTTGCAACTTTCACTTCCTGTAAAGTATTTTTTACATGGTTTTCTCAGTGTTTTAAAACGTACAACCTTATACACTAACCCCAAAAGAAAAACAAAGTATCGTGTACAAGTATAAATGAAAGCAGTTGAGAGTTGTTTGGTCATTCTGTGGCTGTACCTTTGACAAAACCTTTCTCTCTGCAGTGTTTCATTTTATTGTAGCCACATGTAAGATTAGTATATCACTAACAATAATCTATTTTTTCCCTGCCTAACACTTCCAATATAAAAAAACTGTGAATAATAACACAAAATGTTCTTATCACCTATTGTAACGTAAATGTGTGAAATTGCATAAATTATTTCATGCTCATCAGGAAACAGCGAATGTGTGTTTTGTTGAAAATAGCATGGCAACAAAAGAATTAACTGAATGGTACTGTAATTATTATTATTTTTTATGTTTATGAATAAAAACAAGAACCTATTTGACTGTGGTCCAGTGTGTCTTCTTCTAGCACCACATTGTACTTTTATTACGTTTATCTATTTATTTATTACCAGAAGTTTGTTTGGGTGAACGTTAAGTATATAGTGATATAATCGTTGCTGCCAATGATAATAATAAAAACAAACAAAACTAACTATTCAACAAACAGCAAACCCAGTTTTTTTTGCTTCCTTAGATAGATAACTTTACTAACTTTTATATATATGAATGTTTCTGTTCAGTGCCCTGAGATGACTTCTGTTGTGACTTGGTGCTTTATAAATAAACTGAATTGAATTTAATATGTTCCCTTAACACTGTTTTAATTCTTTTTAACTTTTTCATTTTTAGTTTACAAATTTGCAGAACAAAAAAGGATCATTAAAATTAATTACAATTTTGGGGCTTTTTAGTTTTAACTTTGTATTAGATACAACTTATTAACTGAGTCTGAAGTTTTATGGTCCTTTATTTGATGGTTTGCGGTTCCTGGGTCTGCATGGGTCTCCTCCTGGTCAGACATGCCCGACCCAGGAAGCATCCTTACCAAATGCCCAAACCACCTCAATGGTAACTCTCAATGTGAAGGAGCAGCGGTTCTACTCCAAGTCTCTCCCGGATAATTGAAATTCTCACCCTATCTATAAGGGAGAGTCCAGCTACCTTTTGGAGGAAACTCATTTCAACCACCTGTGTCCGCACTCTCATTCTTGTGGTCACTACCCAGAGTTCATGACCATAGGTGAGGGTAAACATGTACACCGACCAGAAAACAAAGAGCTTTGCCTTACAGCTCAGCTCCCGCTTCACCACAACAGACCAGCACAGTCTGCAATACTGCAGATGCTGCACCAATCCACCTGTCAATCTCATGTTCCATTCTTCCCTCACTTGTGAACAAAGCCCCAAGATACTTGAACTCCTTCAATTGAGGCAGAACCTCAACCTGAAGAGAGCAACCCACCTTTTTCCAGTTGAGGACCATGGATTTGGAGGTGCTGATTCTCATCCCAGCTGCTTCACACTCGGCTGCGAACCGCTCCATTGAGAGCTGAAGATCACGGCATGATGACACCAACAAGACAACATCATCCGCAAATAGCAGAGAAATGAATCCCAAGGCCACCGAACAGGAATCCCTCCCCCCCGGTTGTACTGAGAAATTCTGTCCATAAAAGTCATGAACAGAATCTATGACAATGGGCAGCCCTGGCAGAGTCCAACACCCTGAAGGGGTCCAACTTACTTCTGGCAATGCAAATCAAACTCTCGCACTGCTTGTATAGGGATCAAACAGCCCATAGCAACGGGTCCCTAATCCCATACTCACGGAGCACCCCCCCCCCCCCCCCACACACACACACACACAGTGTACATGTGCGCCATGAAGACAAATATCAACATTTTAATGTGTATTTTGTAAAAACTTCTATCCAAAAGGTGAGTTTAAGAAAGCATTTCTTTGTTTCTGCAAATTTGACTTAATAAATCTGAGCCTACACACAAATCAGCTCATTAAAACTGTCTGACTTTTCAATTCCAAACGGCTCTTCCTCTGACGTTATCATCACTGACCTATTTTCAGACATTTTGGCTGTTTCCATACAACAATAAAGTGCAGATCTGGTTTTGTTATTTGTATGATTTTTGTTTTTCACCAGATTTTTTTGATATTGCAATACCTTCAGTCTAGCTATGTACGTGTTTAAATAGAGTTTTTATTAAAGATAATCAATTCAAAGTACATAATTGGATGTCAAAGTAATTATCTACTAAATGAGCTAGAAAAAAAACACATTTATGGCATTTTGTTTAGACAAGATTGGAAAAACCTGTCCTGACACACCGTGGAAAATAATTCCTTTACAATGTTAGACTTCATTTATCCTGCCTACCTGTGTAGGCTGCTTGACCTCAACCCTCTGAGGTACAAACCGGAACAAATCCTTTCATTAGATGTTCCTGTGAGTTTGCAGTCAGACAACGTATGACTCCAAATAAATGTCTAGCAAAGAATCAGTGGGAAATATAGAAAACAGAATAAGTGGAACCATTTTGTGTGTAGTTTGTGAAGTTTAATGTTAAACTGCATGACTTTTTTCACACATACAATACATTGTTAATATTTACATCAAACATAACCTGAAAAATGTAAAACAAAAGAACAAAATGAGGTTTATCACATTGTTTCATTATTTCACGCTGGACAACAACAAAAAATAAAATAAATCACAAGCCTTTTATTAGTTCTGGTCCTTCCAAATTTGTGCAAAACATGTCAAAATCAATGTGTTGTTGGTTCAAAATGTAGATTTGCAATTGGTAAAAATAACAAAAAAAAAACATAATTTTTCAGTCTTACAAAAACATCACACAAATGCTCAGTGTGAAAAAAAAAACATTGCATTTTTTTTTTTACAATTTTTGAAATGAATACAGATACATTAAAATGTGTAAATGCCAATGTCAGCATATTCTGCAACAAGAAGAAGCACTTACACATAATAATAGTTAACAACAAGACTAAGGAAATAAAAATGAACAGGAAGGATCTCGTTAATATTAGCTGTGTCACAAAAAGACAACAATGTGTTTCAGTGTTTTATCCACACAGCAGGTACAGCAATAATAAACTCCTTCAGCAGTTTAAACCACTAAATGCTAGCACACATATCGAGCCAATGCAAGACAACAAGGTGAGGACAGGAGAAAGTCTCACAAGTTTTTACTTTATCCCATAAACCACCACCATTTAGGAGTAAACACTAAACTTTCAACATCTTCAGGATTTCAGATGTTTTTTTCACATCAAGCACAAACACAGAGTATTTCCTATTTTTTTGTTCAAACACATCTGACATGGCAAAAAAGGTGAACTTTCAGTTGATGTAAATTTATTGTGTCTGGAGGGCTTGTGTGTAGGAGGCAGTTTTCTAGAATTGGCTCATAAAAGGCAGAATTTCACTGGGCTATAACTAGTTGGCAAACGGCGCTCGCAGGAAGTCGCTCGGTTGTCTCGTAACATTCATACAGGGTTCTCAGTATCTTTGAAGCCTCGTTGCTTCCATTCTGAACATGTTCAAAGTTTTAGTGACATTTTTTCTCTCAAAAAAGTCAGTCTTCACTGGCAACTCCCACCTGCTTTAAGGGTGCAAGAACTCTATTTCAATGCATGCACAGGATCTCAATTTTCTTTATTAACTTTTATTTAACCAAACGAATCCCAATGAGATCACAGATTTCTTTTGCATGGGGAATCTGGGACTGAAGACAGACTAACATGCTCTTTTGGATTGTGGTAGGAAACCGGATTACCTGGAGTAACCCATGCAAACACAAGAACATGAAAACTCCACTCAGAAAGACTCAAGGTAAAAACTGGGGATTGAGCACAGGATCCTGTTGCTATGAGGCAACAGTGCTAACCACTGATCTATTGTGCTGCCCAATTTTGACAGTAATCATGTCCAGGCTAAAAATCATGCAAATCATGTAAAACACTGATCCAAATCTGCCTATTTTCATTTTAAAAGTGTGCCATTGCTGTAAACCAATATTCTACATAAGGAACAATAATAGCTCGAACAGAACCAAACTGAATGGTGTCAGTATGTAATAAAGCCCAGTACCTACTTTGTACTTAATGGGTACTAACTTGGGATTTACCTTGCACTTACTGAGTTTGTCCTGTAGGAATCAGGTATGTACCAGGTCTGTACTGAACTGTATGTGTATTAGAGATGTTTGTAAATGATCCAAATCTTTTGAACAGTTCTGCAACAAATGATGGAAACCTAGTCGCCAACAGTTGAGAGCCATTCCTTCTTTATATTTCAGTTTTCTTTCTCAAATGCAGTGACAACTGTCTCCCCTTAGCTTTTCCACTGAGACCAAGGTGGACA